CCTAAGGTATGGTGACAGTATGTGGATGACACGTTCACTGTGTTGAAATCGGAACGCATCGATGATTTCCCCACACATAACCTCAGTGGTAGATGCAGTCCGATTCATTCACAAATTAGAAAATGAGCGAAGGCGATTGCCGGAGTTAAACTGTAGTATAAAGAGAAGGACAGACGTTGGTTAGGATACTACCGTCTGTGGGAAACAGGCGCCTAGACTATGGGACATCTCATCCGATGTCAGTTAAGACAGGCCTCATCGAACCTTTGAATGATAGAGCTATAAAACTCACTAGTCAGTCCAATGACTTAAACAAGGAGGCGAGACACATAGAAGAAGCATTACCAACTAAAAATTATCCTCCACCACTCACCAAAAAATTCATACGAACATACAAGAAAGGAGATATTGGAGCAATACGGATAATTGTGACAACATTAGTAGAAAGGAGTACAGACCCTCCGTTGTGCCACCGTACAAGGAGGGAACATCATAAACTTTCCATGGAACTCCCAACAAGTCCAGAATTAGGTCAGCACCCAAGCCTACAAACCCACTCAGAGATCAGCACTGGCAGCTCAAGGACCCGACGGAACAAACTTAACAAAAGAATCTAATCTATCAAATTCCATGAAGCGACAGCGGGGTCAAGTGCACAAGTTGACCAAACCGGTGAATGTCAGTTGGACTGGCGGGACATGGGAGTCCAGATAAATGTGGGGTGGCAGACTCCGATACGACCAATAATCTGGAAAGGCTCAGCTATTGCACAATATGCATCAGCACAACGACACACCCGAGGTGGGACAAGACCACTGGACTTAAGTCCAATATAGTGGTGTGGAGAGGGAAGCCAGCTACTGGATCTTTGCCTACCGAACCAACACCCGGCATATTCAATAAGAATGACTCCGCACTCATGGTACGGACATGAAAAACACTCCTATTAATAAAAACAAAACATTTACGGTGACTGATCATAAAAATCGATCGTTGAAAGCGGTGTGACTACAGTAGTATGATTATGAGCAGCAACTTGTCCGCGAAACGTCATCGACTAAATAATACTGTATCACCGCGTATTATACCTCAGATAAACAAGGCTGACACGGAATTACATTCCGCGACGGGGCATAAGTTTTACACTCGTGTTAATGCTACAAACAACACTGCCTTCATTGGTTCATGGTATTCGCGAAGTCACTAATCCCACAAGTACTATAAACACAGTAAAAGGGTTTCAGCATGTACCCTTCCGCGGTCGAAAGCTGTAAATTTCACAGGCTTCGTAGACAAAAAAGCATTTACGTCCCTTTGGAAGAGTAGGTGAAAACGGGGATATTTTCTAAGTAGACACAGGAGAATACTAACTCTGTTTGCAGAACAAGAGACCGGGCCGGCCATTGGAGTGGGACAATCTGTTTTTAGTGTATGTGACAAACAATGATCGCTGGATTAGACGCTTTTATTCCTTTTATAGATTCTTCCGACGGATGGTTTCCTGGCGTTCGCACGGACTAAAACAACACTGAGTACACTAAACTCAAGAAACCTAGTTGCAAATGGTGTTACCTCTCCTGTGAATCTGAGCCGGAAGATATTCTTGAGAGGACCACCAACGTGTTAACCGATGTAAATAAACGCTGCCAATAAACTGAAGAAAAATATGAATGGGAAGCTGGAAAACTCTAAAGTAGCGCTTAGGTATGAGGGCTTAGGACTTAGGAAACCGTCTAATGGAGGAAGTGCCGAAGTTGCCCGATAAGAGTGAGGAAAGAGTGTGACAAGAGGGATGGTGCACCCCAGTAGGGCAATAACATCAACTGTCTTACAATCCCTCAGCGGGACTTTATCGTCAACGGATGGGTACAGAACGAAATGGTCGAACCAAGCAAGGATGCTCAAGATAGAGGACAGACATACGTTGCGTGAGACAGAAAACGTCTCCTTTTAGCTCCGGTCAAATGCACCGGATCCGGGATGGCAGGAAGCGCCTGGAACAGGTTCATGAAGAGTAATACGGGGAAGAGATGACCAAAAAGGTCAAATAGCCAGCAGGCTGCGTTGGTCGGTCATAAGCTTGTCAGGCAGGTGAAAAAGTTATCAACAAATGAGACCAAGATGGGGCAAAAGCGAAAATTAAACAAAAAACGCTTAAGTGTCGACGAGTGATGAGGTAAACCATTGCCCGTAAGGATTCGACGGTTATCATCAGCCTGAGAGATAACCCTAACCTCCATGCAGCCTTCAGGATAAGAGCGAAGGGGTTCTGGTGGAAAACATGTGAAGCAAACCTAAGCTGCACCAACTTAGGCAAACAGAGGCAACGAAGCCCTCGGGCGGTCCCGATCTAACTACTAAGGATGAACTTTGACTCTTAAGGCAAACGTTCCCCAAGCCAGATGACGTTGAAGATGTGCTGTTGGCACGTCCTGTCCCTTAAGGCTGAAGGTGAAATCAGGACATAACCAGATATCACAAGCTGCGACAGAATTACCGCAAACTCTCAGTCAAAGGGCATACTTTAAGGGAAGCAATCTGACAATACAAGACACATCTGAAAACCCAGGTGCCGAAGACGTTCATTACGATTCTCGTGAGTGGAAGTTCCCCAGGAAAACTGTGGACCTTAGGCCAATAATGGAACAGAACGTTTCACGGATTACCGAAAAAGCTGGGAACCCTCGGCCACGGCTGATCAAAATTGTTTCTCCGGCCTCTCAGGTAACAGCATCCACACTGACAGAGCAGAAATCCGCTATCGACTGTGGTTCCGTGGAGCCTGGTGGGTAGCGGAATGGGAAGGAGCAAAGAAAACAAGGAGCGTCGGGGCTTGTACCTTCATGGAAGCCGCCTGCTGACGCACAGTAGGGTGCTCAAACCCCTGAGGCAGTCAGCTTTTCTCTTGAACTGGGGTATACACATACTAGTTCTAGGAGACTTTAACCTACTGAAGGTTCGGCGGAAATGATGATTCCATTAAAGCCCACTTCTTCAGTCTGGTTGAGGAAATGAAGGTCACATAAAGCGTGAGAACCGCAGCGTGGCAGAGGAAGACTCAAACTTCATTCTGGTTGGGCTGCATCTCCATAAATGAAAAATTCATTATTGACAGCCCTGCAATCCCTCGTTATTTGTGCAGCAGTGACCACTTTGTTGTCGGCTTCCATTCAATCTGCGAAATAAATCTGACTAGACCTTCCTGTAGGCGTCATGGGAACGTTGAGGAATGTAACAAAGTGACCCTTCGGATGGCCCTAGAACAGACAGATTGGGAAGCTGACCATATATGGGAGTATATGAACACCTGTTGGAGATTCACACTTGACAAAAACAAGCACTCAGTCAGCCGGTCTGTTTAACTTCCAACATCTAGGTGCTCCCGGCTGCTTAAGATGGTAGGAAACTACACTCAAACTACCTAAGTTCAAGAGGCGTCACTGGGCCAAAACATAATAGCTGGCACCAAATGCACTTACGGCCTGTGAAGACAAACGGGAAGCACGTGTATGAAGGTATTGGGAGCTGACTGGTAATGACGTCAAGTTAGGCCTGCAAACATGTTACTTTCTAAACTAAGAGGTCTGTGCCGGTGGGCTGTAATGTTCTGGTGGGCCAAAGCAGCAGTATTATGTGCTAGGGCCCAACGTGCTGACCAGTGGCGACACTGGGGAAGTTGGACGTGTAGCCAACCGGCCTTCTCAAGTCAGTTAGTCGGCGTCCACCTATTCTAGAGTCTGATAACACTCGGCTAATTAAGGAAGACTCCGAGCCGTTGATTTGGGAGTTGAGCTAGTACAGCAGAAACTGTTTGGGCTCACAAAAGTCGCTTCTTCAAGACCAGATAAGATCTACGTGGCTGACCACTGTTGCAGGCGGTCGGGGTCAGATCGATAGTTTTTATCTGAACTTTCTAAGGCGCTTGATTGTGTTACTCTAAACTGCCTTGTTGATTAATCTGTATTATTTAGGATCAGACGACAGCTCATTGGCGAATGATTTTCACATCCGCAGGAACATTTATTCAGGGTTCGAGTGAGTTTCTCTATACCTGGGGAAACAGAATATCTCGGTGGTGCTTTCTAGGGTTCCGTGCGAAGGGTTCTTATTTTTCTAACACACACAAGCGACTTACCCGGAAGGGGTTTTTCCGAAATCCTTCTTTTTGTCACTGACGCGAAACCATGAAGAGAAAATATAAGTGAGGGAGATAGTGTTCTTCTTCTTGAAGGCTTAACCTAACTTCAAAATTGGGCAATTAACGACGAAACCGCATTCGTTCCTGGGAATGCAAGGTGTTAAAAGTAAAACATGACGCGTGCCACCTGCATATAGCCAAAGCGACGTGGAACTTGAAGCGTCGCTGATGGAGAAGGATTTGTGCACCTTAGCCACTCGAGACTTAAAATCCTATCCCAACTGTGACAGGAGCGCATTTCGTGAAAACTTGATGTTAGTAGTTCTGGGACGAATTTTCAGCAGTTCGATTGTAAATGTTTTTGCCAGGTTTTCCACAGATCCATACCGCCTCACCTGGGGTGCGAGACAGTAGTCTTCCTGTTTTCTCTGCAAAAGCCCAGAACATGTCAAACTTGATATCAGGCACGATTTTCAGGCCCTAAGCGTTGGTGAATCCCGAAGTTCTTTTCCTGCAGAAGTGATCCGCTCTAACTCGTCTGAACGCCAGCTTGATACCTCAGATGTAGGTATGACCTGCTCAGAATTAATTGACTTTCCAAATTTTAATCGTCATCTTTTGTCCTCTGCTTAGTTGTTCACAAGTTAGTAACCATAAGAAGTAGTGACCAATGAATTCTAGACGCTGAAGACAGTTAGGCCAAAGCTACTTCTATTCCATCCACAACCATTTGAGCCATCTAGAGATGAATATTTAGGTGTCATGAAAATGGTCTGGAAGCCTTGAGACGAGTCACACTATCTTAATCTTCCGATGATTGGATTTTAAAAACAGCTATTGGAACTAATCTTGTTCCTTTAGTGTTATAATGCGACCTTAGCGGTATCTTTGGTTTTTACGCCACAATAAGCTGCGTGAGAATGGGGACGATTCGAAAATACCCTGTCTGTGTAGGTCGAGAAAAAGGATTGAAGAAAACTAAAAATATCCGTCCAAAAAAGCCTTCGAACAGAAGAGGAGTAAGTCTACTTCGGCAATAAGTTGATCGTTTAGCGTTTAACCAAACAAGCGAAGTTCGCACGGAGTCTCATACGTGAAGTAGTGGGATTTGCACCTTTCGAGAAGCGTATGCTCGAGTTGCTGAAGAACGACAAAGAAAAGAGGGCCCTCAAGTTCGCCAAACGTCGTATCGGTGGTCATAGAAGAGCCAAAAAGAAGAGGGAAGAAATGATTGGCATTGTTAAGTCGATGAGGATGAAGTAATTCGTACTGCAAATAAATGGTTATATTCTAATCACACCTCACCATGATCTTTTATACTCAACTGTTCGGTTTTACTGTGGTACTTGGGAACAATATCCGTAATAATAAACTGGCAACCTACATTTAACAAAACTCGATGCTGTGTAGATTAAGTAGTTTGCCAGAATTGATGCTTCTGTTATTTGTCGCTCTGGGAGCGTGCTGGCTGTCGAGGAAGTGATTTTGAGTGCCTCGTCAATAACTTCCGCTGCTCATTTACGCGTAAACTTATCTCGTCCAGACTTCCCTGCGACGCGTAATTATCGCCTCTAGCTTGATGTGAGCTATGCTCCTCAGAATGCAGATGTAACAGGATTTTCATGATTGGCTCCATCAGGATGATATCACTGGGAACGTCTTGAAGGAACCACTTAAGAAACGCGTGCTAATTTCTCGCTACCGACATTTGTCAAGTTAGTGCGTGTTTCCAGATTGGAATAAACCAAGTTACTGGGTACGGTTTCAATAGGATGGTCTAGTGCATGTAAATGATGCTGCTTCCATACTGGTGAGAAAATTGTAACGAAAAGCTTAGTATGCTCTTTATCCTACTCAGGTACTTTTCATCGCCTCTATTTGGACGAAGTGAGCTTGGTCAACGCAAATGTCTGTCACCTGAATAATCACAGTGTACCCCACCAACAAGGACTTGGGTGGTGTGAACATTTCCTAAAATTGGCCTTGGAACTTCTCACATCTGAAATCTTCCCGAAATGAGCCTTGAAGTGTGGTTACCTCACATTGATGCTAAGAAACTCCCATTCTGCGGCATACTTCTTGCTGAAGCCCTATTTGACCTCGGTCTCAGCTTTTCGGTTGCTGCTGTCCATATTCAGTCGGGTTCTCTGAAGAAAAGATTCTGACCGATAGGTTGCTCTTAAAATACCAGGCAGTGCATATAATTCGGTCCACCTTTTCTGTCGGTGTACCAAAGATAAACTGAAGACCGCTTAATATGCATACAACAGAATAACCCTATCCTACGGCATTTTACTGATCCATTTTTACAACATGCATCGGTGAAATACATTTGTATTGGAACATCGCATCAAAACGGTTTCACGGCTTTATTAGTTGAGCACTAAGATGTGAGAATAAGGTTATGCTGAAGATCACTATTAAGTATTGCGTAGTGTACTCTGTCAACCGCGTAAAATCGGCTATGCTACTATTTATTGATACAAGTGTTGTCGATCGGTGATTCCATTCTATTGTATGACTTTCCGAGTAATCACATATCAGGGTAGTAGTGACAAGCAAAGCGATGAGGGAGTATGGTAATCCACTTTAGATGTAGACAAGGGTTGAATGTCGTCACCTCTTCAATCGACTCTCCAATGTAACACCTAGTTTCTGCCCTTCGGCTTTGGTTATATCAGACCACGATCATTAAGTCAACTTCCCTCTACTTGATCTAAACCAATGGTCAGAGACCCCATTATCTTTTCTTTCTTGGTGGTTCCGCGTAGGTGTCTAAAATATAGCGGAAAGGGTCACTTCGACTTGTCAATCTTTATCCGACTATATTTCGGTTCTTAGTGGCTATGCGATGCAGACCAATCGGTTGGGGGTTCGCGGGACGTGTTTACACACAATAACCTCTATTCTTAATTTCATTATCTCATTCTTCCTTCTCCTTCACTACTACTTCCTCAGGTCGATTTTTCTATCTCCGTCTTCCATTTTATTTCCATATTACTTGATATGCCAGATATGAGGTGTGGAAACTTGGACCATTACACAGTAATGCCTGGTCCGATGTTGATGATAATGTGAAGGCAATGACTGAAACATACAGTTTTCGGATCAATCGACCATAGCTTTCTTCATATGGTCAACCATACTAAATTGAAAAGTCCCAACCCACGTTTGCCCTAGAAGACGTCGATAAGTGAACTTCTGACGCTAAAAGAACCCATCTATTCCCAACTATCTATAAATGTATGTGACGATAGGGGATATTGGTAATTCCATAGCAATCCCTTCAGTTTGTTGATATTGAAACTTAAAAAAATTGTAGACGTCAGGCACAATAGTACTCCTAGCATGATTTCCTCGATCGGCACCTTAGTTCGATACATAAGCTCATTGTCATCCTTAAGCCCATTTCTAACTGCCTCCAAAGCCATACCGATTGGTTTGTTAGTATAATAGATAGTTATATCAAAACTAACCATTTTGACTGTTATCGGCTCGTATATGATCTAATCCTTTCTTTAAGTCAAGGATTTTCGCGATTTCTAATTGGGCTTAGTACCACTGCTAAATATCTAGACAACTCGTAAGTCGGAGTGTTTCTAAAATCTATTCTAGGCCTGATGAGATAACCTGGCTTATGAATCTTAATAGGATCATACATTCTACCGGGATTAGTTTTCGGCATTAAATCAAACCCTTCTGACTCACTTAGAAACGGCTTCATTCTGTATATCAGATCCCATGTGGATTTCTTAGCCTTATAATAGTATCCACTGGTTTTTTCATATGGTCCTGTTTCTACATTTTCATTCACTTCGCAAGTATAGTCAGATTTGTTGATTACAACTGTTGAGTTGGCTTTATCCGATTTAGCAATCACTATATTCTTATTATTTTGAAGGTTCCTAAAAGCTCCTCTTTCTGGCTTGGCTAAATTAGGTTTCATTTTCTTCTTTCGTTTCAGTGCTAGAGCACACTGTACTCTTACCTCAACTAAAATTGTCTTGTCTATTGAAGTTAACGCTATTTCTGTTTTTGGAATGACATCCGGTTTCACTTCGTTAACCGCCAAGTTGAAGTTAAGACCTCTGACACTCACTTCTGTTGAGCTTAGAACTCCAGTTGAGATACTGACAACCCACCTTGACCTATCGATCATTGGTAGATGGGCTATTGTTGATTTCATTATTGTTGACTGCATACTTTTCTTCCATAGGTTTGTTGAACTTTTAAATTTGAGTATTTTCGGATTTTTTGAATGCAGCTGGTCTTGCTTTATTGCAGTTGTCCATCAGAGGCTCATAGTCTTCTTCACTGTTTGTATCAGCTTACGATTAAGTTTTTCGATATAATTCCTAATGTTGTGCAACTTTTTGACTATCCTATAGATTTCTTCACTGACCCATTCTATAGCTGCTTTAACGTCGTTTGTTGGAATTGGTGCACATAGACGTAGATATTTGGGAGTGATTTGGTTTCTTAAAGATTGAATATATGGTGGTTTGTGTACCTGCCTTCTGTCTATGAAAGTCGTGTGAGTTTGTTGATTGGTCTCATATATGTCACTGGTGAAGATCTGATCTCACAAAGATGGTTGGCAGAAGTGAGCAAAGACACTCTGAATGTAACTGTGTCCCAACGGGATAAGGTGTTGTAACTGGAGTTCAAACTTGGCACCTATGGCCTAAAACGTCTAGTTTTATTCACTAGGCTACTGAGTCAAGAGAGCCAAGTCTTGGGAAATGTATATTAGCTGTTATTTACTGACACTCGCAATTTCCGGTTGATTAGTATCCTGAACAGAATTAATAGATACTCAGTGCTAACCATCAACAAGCAAATTACATCATCATGATTAAACTTGAAGCAATATCCAAGCATCCATTCAATGAGTCAATAAGTCAACGGAAGCCAGTTAAGTATAACAGTCCTGTCACCTCTCACTGTACTTACCAATTTACACATAATTTTTGAAGCAAGTACATGGGTAAAACTGAGAGAAGGGTTTCTGCTTGGTTTCCTCATGTTTGAAGAAGTTTGTGTTTGAAGGGAGGTTAGTTCTCTAGTGGTCCAATATCCTGATAGCAAGCGGGAAATGAACACCGTATAAATATTTATCCATTCTCCAACAAATACATATTATCAGGTGTACTAAGGTTTGCTAAACCCCTCAAAATTCGATATTTTAAACCTGTTTTGTGTACACAAAGACATTGCAGGTGATCTTTCTTTAACCTGATTATTGAATATTACTTCCGTTACATCTCCTTTTTTGATCCACCAAAATTCAACCTCAGTTTTTCCCGTAATAACATCGAAAAGATAAGTAAATTAGCTGGATGACTATTTCCCTTAAAGTCTTTTTAAGATCAACTTTCAAGTATCAAAATGTTGTAAAATACATATCTGTATCTTTGCCTAACATGTTGCTATTTATCTGATAGGTGATGTAACATAAAACGATTGGTGGTAGGAAAGAAGATTGATTACATGTGATAACAGAGAACTCGCTAAATAAGTAAAAACAAGTTTGAAATGAAATTAGCAAGTTTTTTTTTAGGTGCACTGGGATTATTGATTTATTCAATGAACGACTACGCATGAAGAAAAAGGCGACCACAAACATTTTATCATTATTAAAATGGTAAATAAACAAGAAGAACACCCTTCTGCATAGTTAAGTAAGTGAGAAATAAAGGCAAACACGTCTAATTGACACCAGTCGCATGGTGAACAACCTTCGTTACCACTCATCGGGTTTCCAGTCGACTTCCCTAGTGCCCATTTTTGTCATTTTCAGACAGCAAACGTAGTTCCAGTCAAACTGACGAAACCTGAAGTATGCATTCAGAAGTTAGTTCTGACTCTTAATCCTTTGGCCGTATGATGCTGCCTATAGGACACAATTTCCACTTGTTATTTATGTGATCATATTTTTTCATATGCGTAGTTCTTTGTAGAATAAATGAATAATTCTAGCCCATCCAAAACCTGTTTCAACCCGAAATCAACCTCGAACTAATTTCATTTCACATTTGATTTTACTCATTTAGCAAGGTCCTCGTTCTTAACTGTAATCAATCTCCTTTCTGATCAACAATCGTTTCATGTTACACCCCTTGTAAAATGAACAAATACATGCTGGTTAACTATAGTGTAAATTTGTAGTCCACATAAATATAGTGTAGTTTGATACTTGAAGGTTAGTCTTCAAACCGCACCAACAGAAATACGTATTCGGTCAATTTACTCATCTTCTCAATGTTTTCGTGGAAAAAACTAAGGTTAACTTCTATATCCTAGAGACATCTTTCTCTTTCGCATTATAGTAATCCGTTTTACGTGGTGAAACAGGTTTGTGTGATGATTTTAAAGGTAGGATATCACCGTGTCGCTTACCAAATGTTCCTAACACGCTGAGATGCAACAGTGGAGCCATAATGAGCAGCGAAACGGAAAAATAATATTTCTCCATTCAGTCGGCCTAAATTTATTTGTAGCATAAGTAGTGACACCGACATGTTAATGGACAGTCTCTCTCATGCTTGTTCAAGATGTAGTTGTAACTCGTTTTGTAAATAATTACCTAATTTATAAGGTTGCATAGGTAAAAAGAAACTTCTTGATCGTTAACTCATCCGTACATCGAATGATAAACATGCCATTTAATCTAACTTCTGTTAAAAAGAAACTTTTCCCTGTCAAATATACAAAAATGGTTCACATTCATTCTGTAATTCAGTAAAATATTTCATGAAAAGGTAATAATCAAGATCATGTCTATTGAATTTAAGTACAGGGGTTGGAGTTATCTCCATAAAAGAGATACTTCGAATTCAACTCCCTTTGATGAATGTCATTTAGCCCAACTGTATCTAGGTCATGATTTATATGGACATTTTAAATTTGTTTCATATTCAAATGTTCTACCTAATACATGGTCGCTTCATTGTGGTCGCATGTGGTGAGGTTTCCTAAGCCATCACAACATAGTAACATCAGAAAACCGAAATTAAGGTTACTTGAACGCTCACGCGCAATCCTCAAAACTTGATCATCACTGCAAAAGTAGGTGAGATAGACAGATAAAAATCAATACATTCAAGGCTTTTTCGTGGAGACTGAGGTAATTTCGTATAGAAAGACAAAGTTTCATGTTGAGATGACTGCTTGCTTTGAAATTACTATTTTTATAGAGGAAAGCACCTCAAACTGCTTCTCAAACCCTCATTATTGATGTGAATATTGTAAAGTGAAAAAATGGATCGGTTATCAGGATGCACACTCAGTAACTTTCGTTCAGATAAGCTTCCTTCATCTAAAGAGAGGCAGGCGCCTCTAGTTTTGCAAGTTTTATTTTATAACTAGGCATCCACCGACAAACAATCGGCATTTTGCGTCTGCTTTGTAATGATTAACAACTGCATAATTAGAGTCTATAGCTTAATCGTTAATAGCCACAAAAGTCAGATTCTTCTGCCTGATATGATTTCTGACCGCAACCAAATTAATACACTGCTCTTCTGAGCATTTTAACTATCTAGCATGACTTCTTATTTGTCTTTTATCATTGCTTAAACGTATGCACTTATCAGTTTAGTACTGGTCCAAAACAACTTATATAAGATTGGTCACATATAAGGCAATAACAACACAACCAGACTCTTACAGATTTAGGAACAAAATTATTTAGGGTAGGGGGGACATTTTGCTTCGTCTTACTTACGGACATGCATGAGTAAAAATTCATAAAGAAACTAGAGGAAACTGACATCATCTAAACGTATGTGGTAATTTGTAGCTGTGATCCTTCCAAAGTGCATTTCGAAGAAATAAATACTTATCAATAAATTTCCCCGGTACAAGCCATTTTAAGGTTGATGACTGTCATCCAAACTTGTAATTATTCGTAATGTTGATTGGTACAACATTTTTCTCTATCGTGGTAATTCGTTAAGACATAAATAAAGATGAATTAGACGTTCTTCAGAAATATGTTCATCGAGAATCTGATGTCCAAGGGTAGTGTTCATTTTAGTTACCTACATGAAATGATGTTCCGTTTTCCATTAAAACGACTATATCTATTATGAATTATAATATAGGCGGTTATACTGTCCAAGGAGCATTATGACAAACTCCATAGTTCCAATTGCTTGGTGACAATAAATGTAAGAAGTTGTCCAGACGTCTAGAGTGGATCTAAGCGGTAATTCAATTCCTGAATGAAAAAAGTGTTTAATTTCATGCCCTATCTTCAAAAGAAATGACGAAAAGTTCTCGAAAAATACATATCACCTGTATCATTCTCTGCATCTTAATGGAGCAGTAGGAGACCAAAAATCGAATGGTTTGTGAAGAGGTCGATCAGGACGAAATCGTCCCCCACCCAATACACCTCGACTTTGATATGCCATTACATTTATAGTCATCTAGAATGAATAAGATGCTGGGTGAGATACAAGGAACTCAAGTTATGTCATTTTCGAACTGGATAAAGGCTTCCATGCGTTACTGATGCATCCTTTTCACGAAAATCTTGACGTCCACCTCTAATTAATTTCTTAGATCCTAGTCTGTTTACCTGTCGTTCTGCTTGCGGATAAAGTAAAAGTTGGTGGGTAGAATATCAGGAAAGCATCAATAAGAAAACCAGTCTTGAATCAAAGGAAGTACTTTCGATCCCGAGTAATAAATATTGAGGAAATCCTTAAACTACTGAAGTTAACTAAAATTTAATCTGGTATATCTCTATCTTAGCCCTAACAATTCATTCTACTTAGTTTGTCAGTTTCATTTCACTTTGTATGCTTCAGTTTAATTATCATTTTACGAAACTATGACAACACTTGACCCTTATTTTACCACTTGAAATAGACTCTTCTTTATTCAGTGACTCCTTTCCTATTTCTTTCTTTTGAACCAATCCTACCACCACTAATCGTGCCACGTATATATTGGTTGTACAACTTTTTCAGTGGATCTATTTGGCTTTTCATTGATTATAAATAGGACTCTACAGCTTTATAATGTCGTTGAAAAGAAATATTTCTTCACTGATAAAAATCTTCATATATTATTGCTTAGATCCCTCAAGAGAAGGATCCCTGTTGGAGCACAAAGAGGGAAAGTAGTGTAAGACCTTCGGAGAAATGCTGCAATTAGTTTCTATTTTCCCTCACAGTCTGTGTTTTCCGAGAATAATGCATCCTTCAGTTGAAGTAAATCATAATCTTTATAAAATTAGGTCCACTTACTGTAACTTCCTGCTAATTAGAATCCTCAATAAGCATCTACTTAATGGATACCGAATGACGCACTCCGAGCAATTCAGCACATTTCATATTCGATGTAAATGAAAATGTATAAGTCTCGTATACAGAATATGATGATATATTTAATAACAATTAAGAATACATATTTACCTAATGTTTTTAAAATCTGGTCAATCAAATCTACAAAGTGAAAGGCATTAAAGGATAACAGTACTTGGAAAGGAAAGCAAAATCAATTCATTTACTTACTTCAACACAGAACAGAATAAAATAAGATAGCAATAAAATGTTTACCTTACTTACTCTTAAAGGTATGGAATGCTGAAAGTAGAAGAAAATTGGCAAACAAATAAATATAGGTACATCCGGTTGACGAGTCCCAAGTAGGACGAAATGCGCATCCTGGATTCTACTACTAATCACCCAGATCAACACAACATCATGAATAATCAGCAGTACCGAGGCATCCACATAGGGGCTCATCTTCCAGCAGAGGCCAAGTAATTCGACCCTGTATAGTAACGGGAAATTACAAGTATCAAAATTACATGCTCTTTATGTGAATATCTTTCTAAATAAACGAAGTACTTACTCTACTGTCCGTAGGCTTCTTCCTTTCATCCTGTCTGTGTATCCTATCACGTAGGTCGTGTAAGTGAAGTTTAGAGATCTAAGATTCAATCTCGCCATCACACCATAACAGTGATATTATTACCTATATGTAAGTGGTGACAAAAGCAAATTTTATAATGCATTTTCTGATGTACACACTCAAGTTTGCCATTTTCAAGTTTTTCGTTGTTGATTTTAACATCTACACTTCCGTTTAACTGACACTTAAATGTCCAAGATAATGTTAAGAAAGGAAAGAGAATGTTTTCGAATTAGTTGAAAAAGTGTGGCATCAGCTTTTGAGAGAAGTGTATTTAATGAAAAAAATGAATTTTTATTTTACTCACCATGCAGGTCATTTAAATCATGTAGCATAACCCCCGTTTAGATCTGGAATGAGTCTCCCTGCATCAGTCAGCCTAGATGAGATTGCTGAAATCCAATGACGTTTGCTAGCCTTTGGATGTATGTTACCAACTGTCTATCGCTGTTTTCATAGCACATTTAATACCACACCACGTTTACCCAGGATGAAAATTGTCAAACTCAGATAAATGCTTAGTTATTTCCTCCGTTGATACACACTCGACGTTTTTATCTTCCACTGGAGCACATAGAGTTCACTGCCACCTAGTTTCTGGGGTCAGTACGATGCAAATTTACATGCACCTGCACTGGTGAATGATCGTAGTCCGAGCAGGTACTCCAAAAAAGGGACAATTCTCTAATGAAACCCTCCAACGATGGCTTATAGCAATATTATCTGAGTCCATCGTTAGTCCGAAGTCGGCGGAGTCCATGTGAGCCAGTGTCTTTCCTTATGCTTAAAGTTAGTGCTAGCCAGAAACAAGCGATTGTCAGAACAAAATTGCAATAGACGATCACAGTTATCAGTATGTTGGGATGGGATTCCGTAACCAGCTCCCAGGTGCCTTTCCGATTGGCTCAACTTCCTAACTTGAGCGCTAAGGTCACTGGTTATAACGACTTTATCTGAACCCGTCTGGTGTCCTCCAACGCTTCCAAGGCTAGTAGGTGTTGGGAGGAATCATCACCAAATTGTCAGTACGATAAAAAAAATACTGGATGCAATCATCTGCTCAGTCAATCAAGGGTATACAGATTCTAAGTATAGGTGATTTCAAACGTCTTAATATTAAATTCGTAAATCATATATGCATTGAAAGTGATTATTCCAAGAAATTCATATTACTTAAACCCGTTGAGCAATCAGGGGACAGAAAATGTGCGATTGGTAACATGATAAAGGGATGCCTA